GGACTAGTTATAAAGATGTCAGGTTGACAGGTTATGATTTCTTGGTTAATGTCAAGTTGTCATAATCAAGACATTTTAAACAATGTCAACTTTGCATTAAAAGTGTCATAATTTACCAAACAGTCATAAACATTCATAAAGACTCCTTCATGTTCACGACAGGTGTTATGTCATGTTCATGTCAGTCTTATGCACACCCCTTCAAATAAAGTGTTACTGATAGGTTGAGTGCAAAATGCTCCATCCCAACCTTAGGCTACGTCCACATTAATCCGGATAGATTTGAAAACGGGGTTTTCGTTTAAAAACGCTCTCCGTCCACACTAGCGTTTTCAGGCGTTTTCCGACGTTTCAGTGTGGATGAGAAACTTCTAAATTCACTTTACTGCGCATGCGTGAAACTTCACAAAAGCACTGAGATGATACAGATGGGAAAATAAATAATAATGTTATCGCACAATAACAGGATAATTTTATTTGGCAAAATATCTCACCATCACGGATCCGTCCAGGTCGCATTCAGTCACCATATGTTTGGTCTAAAACGCTCTCCTGTTTTGCCGCAGGACAGCAAATGTGAGTAAGCTACATTATCTGTCATCTTTGCAGTGCTGTGCTATGAAGAATAGCACATATTAAGTAACATAGAAAGTAACATATTTTAGCAATAGTGTAAAAATGAATGGAAATGAAAAATGAAATGAACAGGCACAATACCGATAAACATGAATATCTATTGGTACTACATGGATCACATGACTAAACTTACGTCATCGTTTTGAAATACCTCCGGTTTCACTGTCCACACTACAACGCGAAAACGGCGTTTGGAGAGCGTTTTCCAAACGATACGTTTTTGTTTACTTAAAACGGCGTCTCAGTGTGGACGGAAGGCCAAAACGGAAAGAAAAATATACGTTTTCAAACGAAAACGTATTAGTGTGGACATGGCCTTAGTGTTTTCTAACAATTAATTGTCCGCTTTCCTATTAGATCTGATCCTCACTGCTTGCTTGTGTGTGGATGGATGCAAGGGTTCATGCTTCACGCTATGCTCAGTCAAGACACCATCTGGTAACCCTGTATATTCCTGAAGGGCCAGAGCTTAGAGAGCAGGTGGTTAGAGAGTTATATGTCTTACCATTATAAACAAACGCACTCATATTTGCATTCCCGGATTCCTTTTCCCATGTGTTCTGATACATTCTCTCTGCTTCTTGCTGTACTTGAGGCTAGATGGGCGCAGTGAGAGAGGAAGTGGAAGGATGGCACGAATAAGGAGAGGAGCGGGCCGGGGAGAGAGAGAGAAAGAGCAAAAAGCAAGCCAGAGGGAGAGAGAGAGAGAATGCGGGGGAGCACTGGGTGCTTCCTGCAGGGTTTCCGTGTGAACGCGGTCTGAATGACAATGGTGCACATCAGGGCCCCAGCACGACTCAGTCTCACGGCTCAGCCAGAAACACAGGAACACATAGCATGCTGTTACATCTACACAGACGCACGCTGCACAGAATGCACACAAGATATATAAACATTGATTTAATTGTCTGCCTTATTGCATTTGATCTGGTTTGGATGCAAATGTCAAAAATTGGACTGTACAACAACAAAGAGCTCAGAAATTAATTATAAAATGTGTTACTGAAGGCTAGCAGTGAATCGTCACCTATGTGCAGTGTGTGCTGCAATGGTGATTTCTCTCTCTCCGCTCTGTGCTGTGTGTTATAAAACCTTTTGTCAAATTGTCTCCCCAAGCGAATGCATTATGCCTTAATTAACCATGTCTCTCAACGCGGAGGCTCATCATCTTTGTTGCATTACACCAGGCGCTCTGGCAGATACGCTACAGACTGCGCATCCACGCCCCTTACCGACACTCACGCTCGCCCACTACCAGGACAACCACTCCACCTCCTCAGCGGGAATCCTCCCCTTTTATTGCATTATTATGAGCATCTTGACTCGAAAGCTCCCGGAACAAGTGCGCTGACTAATCATGCTGCACCTGCACTGATTTATTTCTGAGACAGAGTTTGTCCTTTGATTATTTCAGGACCACGGATAGCGTCGTTTCAGTATAGGGGTCAGTGCGGTTTCAGCACCACGGACAGCGTCAATCTAGAGCGTCCGCTGGTTTTTCACTGCAAATATTACGCATTCCTTCAAACAGAACATTTCCAAATTCAGTTCACAGCCCTTTAGTATGCCACCAGCTGTCTTCAGATGGAAGTCGGACACGTTTTCTCAGCAAGTTTAGCTGGAGAGTAAACCCAGGGAATTAGCAACCAAAGGCATATCAGAGGCTGGTGCCAGGTGGACAGATGGGCATGATATGAGCAGAGTGTTTTTAGGACACACACACACTCTCCTGAGTGTCTTTTCAGGCTGACAAACTGTCTGTTCAGAGAGAGAGCATCACATTGCAATGTTATGTAAAAACGTGTTATTGGTTAACTGTACTGCAAGCTATCAACCATATACGTTAAAAAGATCTAATTATCATATTTAAAAATATATATTTAAAGGATATTGCATTTAATTTGACTAATTTTACTATGTAAAAATGGTGGAACTTACCTCATAAAATTAGGGAAAATATTTAAATTAGATTTAAATGTTTATATACTGTATAGGAAGTAAAAGAAAATGATAAACGTATATAAAATAGCTAAGAAGTAAATTGCTTTATAGTTTATGGGCAAAGGGACATTCACAGAATTCAGTTTAAACTATTAACATTAGTTTAAATTTTATTTAAACGATCTCTTCTTAATTATATTATGCATGGCCATTCAAACATTTGTGGTCGGTAATATTTTTTTTTGAAAGATGTATCTTGTGCTCACCAGGCCTGCATTTATTTAATAAAAAAAAATCTGGAAAAAAACAGTGATATTGGGAAATATTATTACAATTTAAAATAACTTTGTTTTCTTCGTTGAATATATAAAAAAAATAATTTATTCATGTGATGCCACTTGATCCTTCAGAAACCATTCTAATATGCTGATTTGATGCTCAAGAGACATTTATTATCAATGTTGATCAATGTTGAACTGTTGTGCTGCTTAATATTTTTGTGGAAACTGTGAATCATTCATTCAGGGTTTTCTTTTTTTTAGGATTTGATTAATAGAAAAGAACATCAATTATTTGAAATATCTTTTGTAAAAATGGAGAGAAAAAAAAACAACAACAACAACAACTCACTGACCCCAAACTTTTTGAAAATATTGTCCACTAGAGATCCATTATGTTGCATTCATATTGTTTAGTTGATGTTTATAGCATTGTTTTTGCGTAGTGTGTTTCCTGGTGATGTTTTATGCTACTTTAACAAAATGTGGATTCCATTCCACTCTTATGTGGACATTTACATGTTTTAATTGGTCCAAACGATTATATTGATACTTTAATGACCTACAAAAAAATATACAATTACCAAAATGCTAATGTTTGAAATGTTCATGTAAACACTGTTTAATTCAGTGTAGTGAGTAACATTTAATGCTTAATAAAGCCACTGTAAAGTCCCCACAAATCCATACTTGGTCAACAAGTACACACTCCCTCTTCCGGAAAAGTGTATGACTCAGACACAATACGTATTGAGAGATATGAATCCATCCATCGCCTTTGAATAATGTCGCGTCTCACACGGTTTGCCAGAAGAAGCAAAATGGCACGCACTGTTCGGTTGAGTCTTGTCTTGGCCATAAGGAGGAGTGAGCTGGAGGATAAGCGAATCGCTACGGGGACGCGCGTCATGTGCTGCAAGGCTTGAGCACGAGCGTTAAATTGATCAGATGCTCTAAACCCGCCAGCTGATCTGAAGAGGATTGCGCTCGAGACCCCGCGTCTCCGTTTCATTTTCTCCGCCAAAAATAAAACTTTTAAATCCGAAATAATCGGTCGTCGTCCACTGAGGCGACAGAAAAACCTTGAGGCGGAGCATTTTAGGGGGGCTTCAGGCGATGGGTGCCTCTTGGTTCCTCTCGGTTACCACAGAAGATGCGAGCTCGAGCTTCAATCCACGCGCTCCGGCGCCTCTCCAAAACTGATTATGCTCATTTCAACGACCACCGTCGGATTCTTCGCGTCTTGGATTTGTCTACGAGTTCTGGAGTATAGATGATAAATGTTTTTAGTGAGGAATTGAGGGAGAAACCGCAAGAGATCATCATTATATCTTGACATGGTGTTTTTTGTTTTCCCAGCGCGCGCTCACGCCCACCATATAGGACCGATATGGCTCTAAAAAAGCAGATAAACTTAAATTACTAAAATCAACCAATGTGACCGAGGTGTGGATTTTTTTTGGGGAAGTCCCGTTGTCTGCATTTGCGAGTGTAATTCGAGAGTTTGGCGGAGGGGAGTCTGAATTTTGCCATAGTAGCCTATACCAAACATTGCGGATACCACAGAAATAAATTAATAATTAAAAGGTTTTCACAATTTTTATATTCTATTTTCGTCTTGTGGATGTGAAAAACAAGCAAAAAACAATGCAAATCCTCAGAAAGACGTAGACCTGATATAGTTAATGCTATTTTACATGCAATTTATTAACGCAATTATGCTAAAAGGATCTGTATGCACACCTTGCGAATGGCAAGACGACCCACACCGAGCTGTTGAGACGGGAAATACTTCTTAAAATGTGGATCCCACCCTCCCGAGGAAGATAATTTGTCGACATTTTATCTCTTTTTGTTTGACTATTTGTTGAGCTGATTGCACCATTGAAAGGACAGGCTACTCCATCTATCCATCCATCAATCTCGTTATCTGAGTCCCTTTTTGGCGCTGACACGCTCTCACACATTTCCCCAACTACTGATCTTGTTTGGTGCTTTATGATGGACATTTCTTAACCATGAAGTTCAGATCTGAATGTCTGTGTGCTCTGTGCTGAGGCTGATGGGGTGTAATGTGGTGTTGTCACCCTGAGACTTCACCCCCTTCTCGGCTGCTTCGTAACGATTGGCGTTTGGTGTCTACAGAATGGCTCGGTTCGGAGACGAAGTGCCGGCCAGGTACGGCGGCGGGGGCTCCGGTCAGGGGGGACCCGGCCGCGGCGGCAGCAGGCAGGGCGGCCCGCCAGGGGCCCAGAGGATGTACAAGCAATCGATGGCCCAGAGAGCCCGGACCATGGCCCTCTACAACCCGATCCCGGTCCGACAGAACTGCCTGACGGTCAACCGCTCTCTGTTTCTCTTCAGTGAAGACAACATAATTCGAAAATACGCCAAAAAGATCACCGAATGGCCATATCCTTTACTAAACCCAGATACGAGGGCCCCTGGGAACAGGTACAGATTTGTAAAATGTTATAGGTTGGTGATGGCTCCTTCACTGCCCCCTGCTTGATGTTGCCTCCATTCCTCCTTCTAGACATCTCTAATGTAAGTTAATTATTAATCCAAATCATTAATTAAGCACAAAGGATGTAATGATTAATATTCAAACGCTACTTTTTTTATACATTTAGTTATTTATCATTGGTTGTAAAACATTTTGAGATGCTGAGCAACAGTCCCAGCACCAGATTTCTACTTTTTTTTTTTTTTTTTGATGTACCATAATATTACCCTTTGGTTTGGATTTTAGGACAAATACCATTTTTAATACCATGGTATTGTTTTAAACACCTTAAAGTAGCATGTAAATAAGATAAATTCAGTAATGTGGTACACCAAAGCACCATGTTGTTACCATTTGAAACATTTGTGGGCTTAACTTCTTTTTGGATGTGCTGCAATGTTCAGCAAAGCTAATTTAGACATTTTGAACATGTTTTTTCTCACCTAATTATAATTAATATTATTTGTGTAATATTAAATTTTCTATAGAACGTCTTGGAGTATTTTGAAACCACGAGTTTAAAGTACCATGGTACTACCCTAGTACTTTACCCAGTAAAGAGGGAGGTGGTTGCCAGGGTGGGCTAGGCTCGCATTGTACACCCCCCCCCCCTCGACCCCCCCACCCCCACCCCCCGTGGAGCCAGGCCTGATGTGCATGTGTTTTCATATCCATGTGTAAGCATGTGTTACGTGTGCAGGTCTGTGTTCAGAGACCTGCGGCTGTGTGGGTGTGCGTGGTTTCCCGCTGGCTGGGATTGGCAGAGTGTGCAAGTGACTGTTTGAGTGCCTGTGTGAGTGTGGAGGGGGGCTGCTGATGTCAGCACATGAGCTTTAATGGAGCCTTGCAGTGTGGAGCGAAAAAACAAGAAGAGAGATGAAGTTGCATTTCAATACTGTGTGTGCACAGTTGAGTAAACCACATCAAGTGGTGGCTCCGTCAGAATTGGCCTGGTAGTCCAGATTACATGAAAAGCGAGAGTATCGAATTGTGAAAAATTATAATGCGCATAAGTAGTTTCAGTCAGTAAGATCATACATTTTCCTCTGGTTTCACAGACAAGGCTTAAGGCTAGACCTGGACAAAAATGCTTGATTGAGCGGTTTTAAATGAAAGCAACTTGCACTGACAGACATTTCTTAAAATATGCAGTGCCGTTGTTTTCTCTCAAGATGCACACCAGTAATGTTTTAACGTTTACAAAATCTACTTAGATGTCTCAATTAAACTAATCCTGGTGTAATCCAAGTCCTGTCTGTGAAACGGGCCATTGATTTTGAAGACAAAAAGTGGTAGTTCACATAAAAATGACAATTTATTAATTAGCCTTTATGACCTTTTTACTTCTGTGGAACACAAAAGATTGGAGGCCATTGACTTTCATTGTATGGACAAAAAACCTGGACACTTCAAAATATCCTTTTTTGTTTCACAGAATAACTCAAATGTGTGGAACAACATGAGGTTGATTAAATAATGACTGCATTTTTTGTCCATTAAAGATTTCATGCATCTAGTATTCTTTACTTCTGCTTGTCATTTACCAAAATTATTACATTAAAAGGTACTTGCAGAACACTTTTTACAAGAAAAGTCTTCTTATAAACTGAAGGCTCACTAAAGAATGCAATAGTTAAAGAGTATGATCCCTGAATCGGTAAAGTTCCCTTTCACATTGAACCTTCAACTTTTGGGACATCAACTAGGCCAACACTATTCTCTTTCCCTGTGCATACACTTATGCGGAAAGACATGGATCAGTGCAATGCAATAGTAACTTTAATTGATCAGTTCTTCTATCATGATCGGCAGACTGCCATGAGTTAAGGTGTACGATAATTTCTCTAATATTAGCTTTACTGTTTCAGAGAAGGGGTACTAATGCTAATGTATACTCCATCTCTTGGAGAGTTGTCACAATCTCTGTAGACTAGAGGTTATTCAAAGAACTAGACAGGGCAACTATTATGATAACAGCCTTTCTCTGCAACCGTTTGGTTTTTAGTCAGCAGCAAAACTTTCTATTGGTCAGTTTTCTTAGCTCAGTATGTTGGCTGGCTGTTTATAACTTCTTTTTTCATCTGAGTGCTAATAGTTTGGTAAAACAGTGCGATGGTAGAGGTGTTAGACTGTTTTAAAAATACTCTGTCGGAATGATGAGTTTATAAGGTCTTTGCTTGTATGAGTGCCAGTAAAAAAAAAAGTCCCTCATACTCTCATGCTCCTACGCCTCCCCTTTCCTTTTGCCATCTCTCTCTCTCTCTCTCTCTCTCTCTCTCTCTCTGATTCTCTCAGACCATCTGCTCATTCTCTCTGTTGTCTGTATGGTGGTGGTGCTTCCTGGGGTTCTGTTGGACTCACTGGGCATGAACATGTGAGAGGAAATGGTAAAAGAATGGAAAAAGAGTGATCTGGGGAGGTACAGTCATTTCTGTCCTTTTGGACATGCGTGCATGTGTGATGCAAGTGAAACAGATTTGTAGCTATTTGACCAAAGATAGCATCGACCAAGCACATGGTGTTCATTTTAAGGGCATGGCGGGTTTTTTTTAGATGACAGTTAAAGGTCAGTTTGATCAGTCATAACTCATCCCAGAATTAAAAGATAAATATTCGAATGTAAAGAAAATTAAGCTGTTATGTTAGGATTTTTCAAGGTTTTTTTGTTGCATATTGACGTTTGAATGACACATCTCCTATCAAATTATCCTTTTCCTAAATGCAAATAAACAGTATTCTTTTTTTACTCTACTGTAATGCTGAAAAAATGTTAATTTAATTTATAGAATTACGTACAGTAGATACACTTAATTTACTTGTGGTAGTAGTTGTACTGCATGTCTTTAAAATAAGATTAATGAAAAATATTATTTTACTACATTTTTAAATGTAATACAATAAAAAATTACTAAATTGTGAAAGTAAGAGTCACTATTAAGAATATTGAGAAGGGGAAAGTTTTCCCGGGCCGGGTAACATACACCCATTAAGGTTTTTTATAGAAGTTTGCTCAGTAAACCTTAACATTCCATGTTAAGAACCATTTTGGAAAAAAAATCTTTTTTTACTTTTTTTTTTATAGTTTTTATTAATATTTTGAAATAGATTTTATTTTTTAATGTTACATTTGTATATTTGTCAATATTATTTGTTATGTTTAAATTATTTTAGTTTAGTTTTAATTTTAAAATTATTATTTTAAAATCAATCCAGCTGACCAATCAGAGCACATCACATTTTTCAGAAGGTGGAGCTTCATAGAGACAGGAATTAAACGGGTTTGCCCGAAACCAACTATAGTCGCAAGTTCCTTTATCAACACAATTCAACTGAACTTGCAACCATAGTTGGTTAACGATGCTTTTGAGAAACGCACCCCAGAGCGTTACTGACAGACCGGTAAGAAAGGTGCTGCAACAGTTTAAATATGTGAAAAAATATTTTTTTTAAACTCAAGCATTAAAAATGAAATAAAGACTTTGTAAAAGGGCGTAATAGGTCCCATTAAGTAAATAAAAAAAAAAACCTGAATTTGACCTGGACATGTTTTTTTTCCTTGCTTCAATTACCTTATGTTAGTAACACAGTGGCATGGTCACATATAATAGTAAGTCCTTGCATGGATGGATGCAGTGACGTGTAATCACAGAAGAATAGGGGTTTGTAAATGTTTCAGCTGGTTTCACACTTTGGCCTTGTGTCCAAGCTGAATGGAGATTGTGCATCAGCAGTAACATACAGTGGAGGGATCATTGCTGGGTGAGTGGAGACTTGGTAGGGCGGCACAGCCTGTGGCATTAAACACACAAGCACACGCACAAGAACTAAGGCAGCTAAAACAGTGACACCTGTTCTGTAGGATCAATCTCCTCAGGAGACCAAAGGAAAAAGGAAACGGGCCAGGACTCAGCACCAGCCTATGGCATCACACACACACACACACACCATGTGGGACATTCACGCTCCAGTGTGCAATTGTAGAGACACACAAGAAATGGATACATGCTCACACTCGCACACCCACACACACATACCAGATACCAGACACTAAATCCATTGCTTTTCTCTGGCTAGAGAACACAATCTGGCTCTCCGCTGCAGTGCAGAGTAGAAGGGATACAACATAGTTTGAGGAGAAGAAGCATCTAATGGGTTGTGTGTGTATGTGCATCTGACTGTTACTCAAAGTGTACAGAAAACGTCACAATGCACTTCACAATGACCATGTTTATTGTGTAACCATCTTAGACACACACACACACTCTCTCCCACACATATTCATATTGAAATTCTCTTTTTTGCTTCCCAGTTGGACATTTCCTTCCTTATTGCCATAACCTTTAGGTACCCTCTGCTGGTAAAAGGTCTTTTTTTATGAATACCAAATAATGTTTTTTTTATTAATATTATTAATTTTGTTGTCCTGCTGACGCATTTGCCCTTCTATTAGGAGGAAGTAAGTCCAAGAAAGCTTTGAGATCATAACCTTTTTGCAGCTCCCATAATGCTTTGCTAAACCACATTTAGATGCTTGGCTGGACCCAGGTTGTAGTTGGTTGGATCTCAGTAGATTTGAGACTGTGATTTGATATAATTTAATATTGGGTATTTATCAGTTATCTCCTTGTGGTATATACCAGTGATCGGTGGATCGGTGGATCGGTTAATCACTGTGCCACAACCCATATACCCCCTATATGTATAAATGCACATAATACACATAAACCTATTTTGAATTTTCATAATGGCTAACATACAGTATAAATTGTACAGAACCTTAAATATTTCTAAAGCAATTTTTCATAAAATTTGTTTTCAATTTGTCAAAATCCTTTTTTCAGGTTTAAATTCGACTTTGAAGAACAGGTTTCCAATGGGCCTGATCGGATAGCTATCTGTTTTGTTA